GTAGCTCGTCTGTGTTGGCTCATTCTTTTGAACAGTGGCTGTTTTGTTTCCCCAACGTATGACTGATCACAGTCCTCCTGACACTTAACAGCATATACTAAATTACTCTGTTTTTGCCTGGGAACTGGATCTTTGGGGTGAACTAAGCTTTGTCGCAACGTGTTTTGGGGTTTGAAAGCCACTGGGATGTCATGTTTAGAGACAATGTCAGGTTGTTTTTCTGCTTTTAAACAAGAAATGAAATCAGTCAAGATTAGATGTTTTTATGTCTCCTCATGAAGGCGAGACAAAGCTGCAGGTAAAGCAGTGTCTGTGGAACAATAAAAAAACGTGTTGACTACAAACCCCGGCTGACGAACGCTGCGATCAYGTGTTCATTATGTGAGAGACTTCCTGTGCAGGCACTCCGAGACTCTTACACTTCAAAGATTTTACACAAAGGRACGCTCAGCAGCACAGGCTACCTGCAGAATTCATGGGTTGAACCAATCAGATGAAGCCTTTTTATCAAACCAGAGGCGGACAGATCAACACTGTTCTAACCGTCTCTGTCTTTGTCCCCTGCAGACCKTTTACATTTAGTTCACACTGTGCACCACTTTACATACGTGTGCACATACATGTGCCACACAGCGCTGCTCACAAGGCTCATAATTATCACAGATCATAATTATACTGAGCTTTTTCCATGCCTCCATGACTGATTAGTGTTTCTGCATGAGTTATCTGTTTGTACGGCACAGTTTAAAGTCAAACATTATGTATATTGAAGCACACATGATGTCTTGAAATCAAATCAAAGATGTTCCAGGTTCAGACTYTATTTATCAGGTTTATTGCAGCTGAAGCTGCTCGTATAAAAACAAAAACAAGCAAACTGTCTTCAGGCAAATGTGATGAACTGTTCCAATATTTTAGAGCCTCCATGGGTGATTTTTATCAGAACTGCATCTTTAAATGTCTCCTGTCTGGAGATTGAGAGTTGTTCAGAAAACATCTGAGGAGGATGACAGGAACGAGCTGTGTCATCGCTGAAAGATTGGGATGTTTTTCAGGGAGTGAAGCTGAATGTTTTAGGTGAAAGATATTCAGCTGGGTGGGAGTTAAACTGTGAGGACAAACAGATTTTATGATTTTTTTCTTGACTGAGGCGGTGGACAGATCCTGGTGAGGGGAGGGAACACGTTTATCCAGGAGTCGAGGGAKGACTTTAGTCAGGATTGTTTCAGTTATTCTTGTATTGAGAGTACAGGATGCAGCCACACCAACATGTTTTTATTGTTTTTAACCCATGAAGTCACACATTCAACAGGAAATCTAGATAAAAAAAACAAGCTGCCCACCAGGGGACCACCAGTTTTTTTTTAAATAAATATAAAGAATATTCAGTCCTTCTTGATTTTATTTAAAACAAGGCTCCACAGTATAAATCTGGATAATCCTCTCWGAGAGTACAGCTCAGGTCAAACTGAACTTGTCAGTCCCTGAAGACTTAACACGATTAGAGGGACAAGGTCATACTAAATCTGGCTGCAACAACACTGGGTGCCTGCAGAACAAAGACTTTTAGCTGATCTTAATGTCATTTGTGCAGCCTTTAATTGTGTTTGTCAAACACAAGCTACTGACAGACATTATTCAAACCGTCACGCAGACGTGTCGATTTAATCCAGCCAGCATGGATTCTGAGTGATTTCCTGTAGAAACCAGAAGAGAAGCTGGGGCTTTATGACCTGTTGTTGTTTATTCTGTAATACATGCATTTACACACACGCTTCAGTTTCATGTGCTTCAGGTAAAATAATCTAGATGTCATTAACAACCTCTGGATCAGGAGCCACATCACAACATTTCTCCACGGCTGTGGTGGTCACAGTCTCCACAGGGACCCCTCAAACAGCCCACTTCRCCTGTAATTCAGAGCACTTCCTCCCTACATTTGATCCTGACGTTATTAGAGTTTTAACTAAAAGAGAAGCTGCAGCAAAGCTGCTGCTGGGAGAAAAACTGCAAAAATCCTGTCAGAATTGGATCARTGTTTTCTAATCTGATGATTTCTGAGTTTATTAAATTGATTCTTTGTGGATGATTTAGTTTGTTCTGTCAGATTTAAAGAGATGTTTTAAAAAGTCAAAGCAGTCACTGTGCCTATTGTTGCTYACATTTCAGTCTTTTATGCTGAATTAACATTTTATAAAGAGCGTGAGTGTAGATGTCATGAAACATCTTCAAGTGCTCAATAAATAAAATAATTTAGCTGAATTTTATGAACCAGGAAGCTGTTTAAACATGAATAACTGGTAAAATGATAGTTTTAATCTGAGATTAAAGAAGAAAGATCCTCTCTATCTCTTTTATGTATCAGTTGTCCTGGTGGTTTGATGTGCAGCAGTGACTCTCAGCTGTGTTTCTCCTCACCTGCACGTTAATGTGTCGTTTCTCCACGACTCGTTGCTTCTCTGTAATCCCAGCAGCAGCAGTAGTTTTTCTCTCAGGGATTCTGCTGCGAGTCTGAATGAGCGACACCTTGTTACYGAACGCCTGCTTCCCTCTGAAGGAACAAGCTAAAATAAAAACTAAAAAAAGAGGAGAGCATGAAGCTGAGGATCATTTCTGCTTCTCACCATGAACCAGAGGCTAGAAAAGAAACAGCAGCAGAGCAAAAACCTCTGTTGCTGTGAAAATTTTACAAAAGTTAATTCAAAGCAACGACTTTTATCTGAAAGGGCTTCAAAATATTTCAAGTCTGTCTTGATTTAAAAGAAAACATATTTGAATTGAATCTGTACAAAGTGAAAAGTTTTAACTCRTCACAAAAACATTTTTATTATTAGCATGAAACTGTTGCTAAATGTGATATAATTCAATTCAATTTAAAAATAATTTATTCATTCTAGAGGGAAGTTATGTAATCAATGAGCGGTTTGAGTTCGTCAATTCATCTTTAAATAATATAATCYTTTGTTCAGTCATTCAGTCTCTGTTGCTAATGTCCGGCTCATCCTTGCCAGTCGCCATCCTCTCCAACGCAAACGCCAGATTATCCATGCTAGTAGCTAGCCTCTTGCAATGCTAATGCCAGCTTATTCATGCTAGTTTGCAGCCTCTCCGATGCTAACACAAATGAAGAGTCTTTTTCTCATTTGCCAGCAGCGTCCTCTCAGTTAGCAGTGCYGGCCTATCATTGATCAGATCAATAGCTGGTTTTAGGAATAGAAATAGCCTCCTGCTACAAGGATGTTGCAACCACTGGTTGTGCAATAGTCTTAATTTTGGCCCTCATACCGCAGCATATTGTGTAGCCACCGCATCGCTACTGAAACAAACGTTTAGAACGAACAGAGAGAGGAAACTCGGCCTCCCACCTCTCTGCAGATGCTGTAATGTAGTTGAAGGCAGATTTGGTCGTTACTGATGATGGATTCAGATGGAGATTCTGGGGACTGGGCTGGCTAACAGACTCATTCCCACTCTTCCATTATTAAAAGCCCACGCAGGGCTGGGGAACATCCACATGTTTTTGCACTCGTCATATTTTCTTTCATAGTCGTCATCAGGAGAGAGTAAATAATTCAGGGTGTCRGGTCTCTGAAGGCAGCTGAAGGCTTGCTGAGGATGACGGCCGGGTCTGGGTTAACCCTCTCATGTTGTCTCACATTAACTGGCTCAGACTGGCTGCATGTTCAGAAGCAGACCAGCATTTATTCTGCTTCTTCTCCTCCTCTGGGTGTGATGTTGCATTCTTTTTCATCAGTACAAAATCACAACTTTCTGACATGAATCGTGCAACATCGCAGTAATCACTGCTCTGTTTGTTTACTCCTTACAGTTTTTTAAGGGGGGGAACGTTCGGTCTGCTCCAGACTCTTATCCACTCTAATTTCTCTTCCTGCCTCTCACAGATTTTTTTATTTCATTTTATTTATTTTTTGTGTGTTCAGATCTACAGACTACGGCTCCACGTACGAGAGAATGAACGACAAAGTTGGATCCAARACGGTCCTCAGTTATTTATACGTGTGTCCGACCAACCAAAGGAAGGTGAGCTTTGATTCAACACGAGTTTTCCTCTGTTTCTGCTTGAGATGAATCATTTATTTAAAAGGATTTGATTAATCTTACAGCTGGTTTGTGGCATTCTGAACAAACTACTGCTTTCATTTAATTTAACAAAATTATTTTCATTCAGTAAAATGGTAAAGTTTTTTATCATAACCATTTCCAGTTTTGTATAGCCTGACCCACACTGCCAGGGACTTTAAGGGGCCATTCAAATGATTTGATTAATTGTCTTTACTTGATTGACACCTCATTTGATCAACTGGAGTCATCTATTGGCTCCAGAGCCCAAAATGTGTGACAAAGCTCCTCATGTCCCGCCCACGGTACATGTGCTAGATTGACTGTAGAATCGGCCAGTCAGCTCTGAGCTTCATCCTGACCCCACAGCTCTGTAGCMAATCACATTTATCTAGTGGTGAGAACAACAGACATGGAAAACATGGATCTTAAATCGTTTTTTGGACATTTATCTGACTAAACAAGCTGTTAAAAAGGAAATATGTTTGTTATAAAGTGTACTGAGAGCTTCAAGGTGAGGAAGAGTGATTTTTGTGGGCAGGAAAAGTAATAAAAGGACGGATTATACCACTTCCTATCGCCATTCTGAATTGTTCTTTTCACCAGAAAGTGAGGACAAATATGCATCAAACGTGAGTGAGAAACATTATTTTTTTGCTGCTGGTGGCTTTATAAGCTGTGTGGATTGAAATGTTTTGATAAAAGTGAGGATATGTTTGTTTTTTGGGTTTTGACTGTTTGTGGAGATTTGCTGAACGTCCTCCAGCTGGGATTAATATTGCTGAATATGAATATATTTGACGTATTTAACCATACTGTGAGTAAATATGGATGGTAGAATGTGATTTGTTGGGCTGGGTTTTTATCTTTAAGTTGAGCCCTCAGAGAAGTCTTTGTGTCGAAGCATTTAGAAATGACAGTGTTTGGAAAAAGTGTCCAGTTTGGACAGATTTGGACATGTGTCCAATTATGAAATAGGACTAAAGTGCAGTTTACAGTAATATGTTACAGTAAGATTCAGATATTTCACCCTGGAAACATTTATTGGCACACTTCCATCTCTTTCTGGTAAACCTCCGACTTGATTTGTGTTCAGGCAATGAGCCAGAGCCAAAAATACATGCTCCTATAAACACGACTGATCCTGCACTAACGTTTACACTTGAAGTTTCACCTTTAAATATAAAGTTAAGTCATAAACAAACAAACAAATAAATCTGACATAAGAAAGGTTTCAGCTCTTCTTAAAAATCTACTGAAAGAACAAAATGATTGATTCAATGATCACAAATCACAAATCAGATCACAAATGATTCAATAAAATTTGTTCTTAAATACAAGCACATATTTTACAAAAGTCAGATTTTAA